TGACCCAATTCGGTAGTACTTAATAGTATTTTGTTCAATCAAAAGATATAATTGAACTCAACAAAATGAGAATAAACTTCATCAAGGTGTTTGCTGATTGTTTTGAAATAATGTCAATTTGATATTGAGCTAACACGACGTTGATAATCTCTGATCATAATCAATCATTGCCAAGTTGATTTCACATATTAGGTAAGACATAATGTCGAGCCCGTATTAACATACTTTATCTTGCTTGATATTGCGTAATAAAAAATTGATTTTGAATGAATTTTCTATTCATTTGTTGGCTCTAAGAAAACTTTCTCGTGTCCAGAGCAATTCATGTTACTTATGAATCGAAATAAAGCCTATTGATCGTCTTCTTTTGAATGAAAGATTCCGCTTTATTTGATTTTGAGTTCGAACCTGTTCTATGTATGAATGACTGATAGTTGGTCATATCAATATTTAACATGAATTTAAACAAATTCTGAATAGTTCTCAAAATGTTGAATGTTAAAGTGTCTATGAATAAATAAATTTTTATAGTGATTATAATTAGATATGTTTTGTTTAACGACAAAAACCTAAATATTTTCATTTAGTATAAAGTACGAGTAACATAGTCTGAGACAGCATCAATGATATTGCAAGGTTTTTTTTTTTCATAAAACCTATTGAATAGAAAATGTTGCGTGTTGTCCTTGACCTTGTCAATGAAAGATTCATTTTTACCTGAAGGTAACAATTTTTTTTATTCTTTTATCTGAAAAAAGAAACAAGAAAATGATTGATTTTATGTGTTGTTAACATATAGACAAAATCAATCCGATGGAACAAAGAATTCCTTTAACTTTAACATCAGAAAAGGCATATAATCATCGAAGTCGTTCTTCTAATAGTGAAATATCACATAAATGGATTCCTTATATTATTACCTGTGTTACGGTAACATCAATATTTGGTTTAATAATTCTTCTAATAATGTTAGGTATTCCAATAAGTATGCTTGTTATTGGTATTCGTTATCGTAATCAATATCATTGTCCAATTGAACCTCGTCTAAGTCTTTTTTTAATAGTTGCTGGGTCTGTTTCAATTGGATCGATTATTCTTATAATTCTTCTGTCATTATTAACAATATTTATTTCTTATAAAAGTTCAACAATGACAACAATTATTGTTCTTATTTTAAGTTTTTTTATATTTGTTGGAGAAATATTTTCAATAATTTGGTTAATTATAGGTAGTGTTTGGACATTTCGTATACGAACTCGTGTAGAACATAGAATCTATTATCCTTTTAATATTAGATCGTATTGTCATAGAACATTATATCAATTTACTTTTATTTATTTAATTATTATTTATATACTCATAGGACTTCAATGTTGTTTTCATTGTTGCTCGATTATATTTCGTTGGAAAAAACAAAAGTAGATAAATTAAAATATATTTTTCTTTAAAATTATAATCTTGATTATCTATTCAAATATGGTATCTATTAAATTTTATCAATAAAAATATTCTATGAAAATTTATTGAAAAAACAAATATAATTGATCAATGTTAATCTCAAGAAGAAAAATCTTTATTGATTTGAAAAATAAATTCGATTTTATATATTTAATAAGAATAGAATTGTTTTTGAAATATTAAGATCTCTAATAAATGATTGTTTTGCTAGGCTCCAGTTTCTAATAACATATTCAAAGACTTTCGAACCGAATATATTAGTCTTTTTGGAATCAAAATTGAAATCGTTTAACAGCAGACAAAAATAAATTAACTTTTTGAATAATTTTTTATATGATTTTTTAATAACTAATACTCCACTAGATTTCTTGTCATTCTAGTTATGGGCATTCCCGAATGAATATAATGTCAATATTTCGTGTACTAGTTGTAAGGTAAGTAAAAGAGAAGTTTTTCTTTTATCTTAGAGCAATAAAGAATCATATAACTTCATGAAATAAGACGCCATTTTATATGATTAAAACAAGTAAAAATCTTTTTTTTTTCGATCAATAAGTAAATCAGATTTGCGTACAATAAATTCTTTTAAAAAAGTCTTATAATTGAAGTTCGATTTGTATAGTTTCATACACGAGTTACAAATCACTCAGTGTCACGAACTATTAACACATATAAACGGATTACATCAGAAATGTGTTTCTGAAAATCGCAATTTCTTGAAAACTCATTAACATAAGCTTTCACAAATCAAATGCAGGTTTATCAAATGGGATGAATACGATCGGTTACTTTTTATAATTAGACTGTTCAACTTCAGTAAAATTAATTCTATTTAATGCAGTTGATACTAAAACCGATCGTGTACATAAATGAGTAATGTGATTCAATTGAAGAAATGTTATGCTTCTATTCTGAGAAAATAAGCTAAGAGATTAGAATAAAATCGATTCTTTTTTCGAGTAAAAAATAATTACAATGAAGCTATTTAATCTGATATTTCAATGTTAAAGATAAATCTATTTGATTTTAGTCTTTTTACTACGATTAATAGTTTTATCGATTGAAACTGGCATTTTTAGAAGTGACGATCCTTGAAAAAAAATTAAGTTCTCATCAGGTGGTATGAGACAATTTTAGATATTCTCATACTGGTATATAGAGATAAAAGAGCTGCATAACTACTTTTTTATCCGCTAGGCTGTCATTCTTTTGCAAAATAGATCTTCCCATAGAAACATTTTTCAAGAAAAAACCGCGGTCCGAGCTGAGTTTTTGCAGGTCTAACCGTGGTTTTCTGGGTTCTCACCGGGGTTTTCGCCGGTTTCAAAAAACCGCATAAACGGTCTGACTTTCGCGGTTTTTCAACATGTGGAACAAAACCACAGTTAACCTCAGATTACCGCGGTTTTTTTCGGAAAAATTTTTCCGTGGGTTGTATGCTTATTTGTACAGCCTTCTATCTGACAGTTGGAGATCTTTTCTCATTAATGGAAAACAAATCAATTAAATCATGGAGATACAAAAAAAAATTAAAATTTCTTCTACATTTATGAAAATACGATTATAAAGACTTTAAATAAAAAAAAAAATTGTTAATAATAAAATAAAAGTAATTAAAATTAAAAAGGTCGATATATATCAGTTGTTTCAAGTTCAAAAACATCATGTATTGNTTTTACTTATACAAGGCCTTAGAAAATTAAAAATCGGATGGTCCAGAAGACATAAATAGCTTTTTGTGTGAAATTTTACTATTTATATAATGTTATTAATTGTCATCTAACTTCATGTTGAAAGATATATACCGTAAAATTCTCTTCAAACATTCTATATAATGTTTTATTACAAAGTATGATAAGAGAAAGCTACACGAAAAAATATTCAAGGTCTCCGAAACTACCAGCATTCTAAAGCACGGTGTAGCATTCCTTAACTTTTTGCTAAGCGGGGACAAAAGAATAAGCATATATCAAATTAAATTTTCTGATGCTGTGACGAATGCAGATCTAGTCTTTATAAAAGAAGTGATGCAAAAATTTGATTCTAGGTTCAGTAACATCATACATTTTTAATCAATTAGGAATCGATAATGAATTGACTTTTATTTGTTTTTATTGTAATCGATTCGCTACCAATTGACAATCAATAAAGGAATAATAATTTTAGTCATTTAAAATGGATCTTTTCTAACTTTTACATGAACTACTTTTTACATAGAAGTGTGTCCGCAGTTTTTACAGGTAGGTATTGTAGCTGTCTCTTTAATGAAGTTACTTGCTTATTCAGAACGATGCCAATTTTCGCCGAGCGATTTTGACTAGAAATCGATCGTTCTTTCGAGAAAACGTTTTGTAAGTGAANCTCACTCCTCTAACCAGAAGTACCTTTTGAAATGAACAGTCTTTGTTCTACCCTTAGTTTCACATGCTCTCAATTATAAAGAAGCATTAGACCTTTGTTTAATTGGAAAGCTGACAATTCTCATGGACTTTTCAATTAGAGACTTTTCAATGTAGTGATGTAGATGGAATTCAGTGACTAGTACGAATTTTTATGAAGATTATTACTTCTTTCTATGGTATTTTTATCATGATACTGACGTGAAAAAATACACAGGCCTAGACAGGCAGGCCAGGCCGAGGAAATCAGAGAACAGGCACAGACAGGCTAGGAGGGGTGTAAGCCTGTCACAGGCAGGCCAGGCCTTCAAAAAGTGGGCCTGTTTGGACCTCTGATATATATATAAACTCTCTACGTAAAAGTTGTTTTTGTTTTTTACAAGCTTTGACAATATCAAATAACTTATTAACAAGCCTAACTACATCGAATAAGAAACTAAAAATAGTGTTCGTTATGAAATTTCATCAGAAAAATAGATAGGCGTTGAAAGATCATCTTTGTTGATAAACATCTAACATTTGTAGAATGGGTAATATGTTGAAAGAGTACTTTATATCCGATCAGTTAAAAACTAATTGAAGAACTTTTTTCTTTTGATCGATCTTTGTTTATCAATGTGTTCCACTTGTATGTTTTAGACAAGTTGTCGAGTTGTTGATTCTAAGAAAGATTTCGGTTGTCCAGAGTAATAAATGTTGCTCACAAATAAAAACGGCTACATTTCAAATTCTATCAATCGTTTCTTTTTTAATAGTAGATTCTGGTTGGTTTACTTTGAAGTTCCGATCCTCCCTATGTACAAGTGATCGATGACTGACCATGTCGATATGTAAGATGAATTGAAATAAATTTCTCAGTAGTTCTAACAAGCTTGAATGTAAGAGTGCATATGAACAAAAAAAAAAATTTTTTTATTTAATATAAAGTACGAGCAACGTGTTCTAATACAACATCAATGATATTAGAAGGAGTTTTTTTTTATTATAAAAACTATTGAATAGAAAACGTCGTGTTTTTCGTTGATCTTGTCAATAAAGATTTATTTTTACCTGAAAGTAACAATTTTTTTTTATTTCTTTATCTGAAAAAAGAAACAAGAAAATGATTGATTTTGTGTTCAGTTAACATATAGACAAAATAATATGGAACAAAGAATTCCTTTACATCTAATATCAGAAAATTCAAATAATCATCGAAATCGTTCTTCTAATGGTGAAAAACGAAATAAATGTGTTCGTTATATTGTTGGCTGTGTTACGATAACATCAATATTTGGTTTAATAATTCTTCTATTAATGTTAAGTATAACAATAATTATGATTGTTATTAATATTTGTTATCATGATAAATATTATTGTTCAATTGAACATCGTCTAAGTCTTTGTTTTAATTGTTGATGGATCTTTTTCAATTGGATTGATTATTCTTGTTATTATTTTATCATTATTAATAATATTTATTTCTTATAAAAATTCATTAATGACAAAATGATTATTGTTATTATTTTAAGTTTTTTTTAATATTTGTTGGAGAAATATTTTCAATAATTTGTTTAATTATTGGTAGTGTTTGGATATATCATGTACGATCTTATGTAGAACATAAAATTAATTATCATTTTAATATAAGATCATATTGTAATAAAATATTATATAAATTTACTTTTATTTATTTAATTATTATTTATGTACTTATAAGATTTCAATGTTGTTTTCATTGTTGTTCAATTATGTTTCGTTCGAAAAAGTAAAAGTAGATAGATAATAAAAAACAAAAAAAAAGTCTTGTTTTTTATTAAATAATTATTTTTATTATCTATTCAAATATTTTATCTTTCAAATTTTATCAATAAACAATTTTATATGAAAATTTATTGAAAAATAAATAAATATTCAATTTTAATCTTAGAAAAAACAAAGTTGAACAAATAATTTCAATAAAAGTAGAATTTTGTCAGATATAAATAACTTAAATACTTTTTTAATGTTAACTTTCTAATGATATATTAAGGATGTTTTAGAGTTGAAATCAAAATTACTTATCAACAGATAAAAAAAGCTTGACTTTTTAAATAATTCATATAAATCATTTTATTAAATTTCTTTAACACTTGTTCAAAAGAAAATTAGAAAAAGAATTTTTTATTTTCAATGAAAACATTTTCGATTACGAGTTTTGTATCATTAGAATTGTTGTTATTATAATTATGGAAATCTCTAAAAGACTATAATGTCAATATTTTATGAACATATAAGTATTTTCTATAGATTTAACAGTAATAGAAATTTCTTGAGAGAATTTAACCAAAAGTATATATTCCATTTCATCAGTAACATAAAGTTAAGCTTTTATTTTTATTTTAAGCAATAAAGAACAATATTTTATATGTCAAGAACAAAAGAAAACTCTCTTTTTATTTTTGATCATTGAACAAATTAGTTATTAATTATTCAAAAACTGAAAAGTAAACAAATAAAAGTCTAACATTATTTTGAAAATGAATCAAAAATAAAATTGAAATAAAATAGTTTTACTGTTAGATTAATAAAAATAAAATCTTATAATTTAAGTTCGATTTTCATTGTGTAATACAGAATACACAATTTACTCAAAGTTTCATCAACTATAAATACATAAAAATAGGTTACATAAGAGATGAGTTCATGCATAGTTCAACTTCTTGAAAACTCATTTATTAATATAAGCTTTGATGAATTAGATCGATTAGTATTTTTATTTATAGTGTTTAACCTGATTGAATCTAATACCGTTTAATAGAGTTTATAGTAGAGTGGACCTTGTGTGTAAATGAGAAACTTTATTGAATTGAACACATGTTCTGCTTTTATTTATTGGCTAAATCAAAGTTTCAAAATGTTCGCATGAATAAAGATTCATAATTGTTAACGATTATGAGATGCAAAACCTATTTGAAAATTTTTTATGAAAGATCAAAATAAAATCGATTAATTTTTGAGTAAAAATTGATTAAAATGGATCTATTTAATTCTGAAGTTGAAAGTATTCTTTTTAAAATCAATTAATAAAGATCACAATCAAATGAAATTTATCTTCAATGTTAAATAATCAGATTTTTTTCTCTTTTAATAATATGGCAAATCTTTCATAAAAAAACAAATAAAGTTTGGATAGAATGGCCCAACACAATCTTAGGTTTGTCTATAGGAATATATAGAGATCGAAGAGCTGTATATAAGTTTTTTTTTTCTGCAGTATAGTGTCATTATTTTGCAGAGTAGATCTTGTATATTTATTTGTGCAGCTTTCTGTTTAACAGTTGGAGATGTTCTTTGGTGGATCGAATAAAAATCGATTAAAGCCTTTAAAAACTAAATTCTCGTTAAAAACAAAAAGTAAAAATTCTTTTTTATATTTCCGAAAATATTATTAAAAAGATTTAAAATAAAATTGTTTAATAGTTAAAAAGTAATTAAAATTAAAAAGGTCTATATAAATCAGTTGTTTCAAGTTCGAAAACATGATGTATTGTTGTACCTAGAGCTAAAGCTGATTTTGCAAGTTCTGTTATTGAATAATACATAGCTGATATAGCAATAAATATTGAATCAGCTTGATCATTTTTAACAAATGGAACAAAATTTTGAGGAATTTCACCAGATGAAAATCTTTGAAAATAATGTTTTAATATTTGATTTGTTGATTTTTGATGTTGATTTTGAAGATAAATAACAGTTCGATGAAGTTGAATTAAACATTGTTCATATTTATTTAAATCATTTTTAATTAAATGTTTTCTATGATGAATTGAACCACGATATATTTGATAAGATTTTGTTTGTGTTAAATTAAAATAAGATGACCAAACTTTGAAACAATCATTTAATTGTTTATTTAAATTACAAAATTCATTATAAAAATCAGGAAGAAATAAACCATCAACTGCATAAATACGAAGATTTTCAACTTGTTTTTTATCTATATTTGAACATTCATTTATTCGTATTAACTTAAATAAAAATAAAAATAAAAATAAAAATAAAAATAAAAATAAAAATAAAATAAATTATTTTATTTTATATTCGTTTTAAATAAATAATTACAGATGAATTAATATGATGTAACATTCTATAAATATCAATTTGTTGTTGAACAAGTGTTTTATAACGTGAAGTTGAAAATCCCTTATTAAGCCACCAACAACATNAGTCAAAAGTGAACAAATATCGTGTGAAAAAACTTTCCGATCAGTCGTTATTTACATTATATTTTTCAAACAAAAATATAATCAACAGAAATTTTAAGTCGACTTTTTAAGGCTGTCTCCTATCAACCAGGGGAAGAACAACTAAATTCTTATAATGACCGAGGAGACAGCCTTAAAAAGTCGACTTAAAATTTCTGTTGATTATATTTTTGTTTGAAAAATATAATGTAAATAACGACTGATCGGAAAGTTTTTTCACACGATATTTGTTCACTTTTGACTCACTAGAAAGTATTCTCAGTGATTGAGAAGTTATGAGTTAGGACCAAAATTTTGTGCACTTTCTGAAAATGGACTTACAAATCTTGTACCTGCTTTTGTTCGAGACTAGTGAGGAAATCTTTGAAAGGCTTAAACAATTAGTTTGGACTACGAACAAACAGATTTTGCTAACCCATACAAGTCCCTTTGGGAAGATGCTAAAAACTCTTGCATTCGGTAGTTCTATAGAGCAAACAATTTTTTACAAAATGTGATATTGAACTAAACTGTAGTTTTTATTCAAAGAAAACTATGCGCATTTTTCCAAGAGCTCGTTTCGCATCAAACGATTTTTTAAAGATGACGATTTAGGAAAAACGGAAATTCAAAAGTCTTGTCCAAGAACATAAAAAACTCAAGTAGCACATTTTGTAGCATAGGTTTTGCTCTGCAAGTTAGTATAATACATATGTAATAAAGGTTCCAACTTTTAGCTTCGGATCATGACGGCAAAAAGACAAAAATGTGCGGAAAAAATTTTCGTTCAATCTAATTTTTTGGGACTATCAAAGGTTATTTCACTACTCTCGAACAGAAATTGACACAAAATTTCTAAGTCCGTATTCGGAAAGAGTACAAAATTCTGGTCCTAACTCCTAGCTTTTCACTCATTGAGAATACTTTCTAGTGAGTCAAAAGTGAACAAACATCTTGTGAAAAAACTTTCCGATCAACCGTTAGTACAAAATCTCATATTAATCTATATATCAAAAACTTCTTTATTTATTGTAAGGTCAACTGAATATAAGTGAGTCTTGGTTATCGTGCTATATAAAGTACTACGAAAAACAAGAAGGAAATTAAAAACTTTCAATTTGAGAATAGAAACTATAATAAATAAAAAATATCTTTAAATAGTTACTATGAATATTTTCTTTGAGTAGATTAATAGCAAAAAGTGGAAAAATAATAATAGCAAGAACAAGAGCAATACTAATTCCAATAACATTTTGTTGAATTCTTAGAAGTGCATAATTTCCAGCTGGTAATGAATCTGCAAATGGTAAACGTCCTAAATTAACAATAATTGGTGTTAATGCAGCTATTGTAACAGTATAACCCCATTGAGGATATGATTTCATATAACCACAACAAAATATCCATGGACAAAGCATTATTATTGTTCTAAATAGATCATTTCCAGCTGATAAACATGTAACATATCCCCACATAGCACCTTGGATATTAAATAGAAAAAACAAACAAACATTAATTTTCTAATATAAAGAATAAAAATTAAAAAAAACAAATACCAAATAAAGTTCCGATTAATCTCATTTTAATAGTTGTAAAAGCACCTCCAACAGTATCTCCTTGTGTCATACAACGTGCAATTAAAATCCATTCACCGTTTTCAATTTTTTTTTTTGCTAAATTTGGAATCATAACAAATATTGAACCAACTCCAATAACAATGATTGTTTTTAACGCAATTACAAATCTTGACCAATCGAATTTAAAATAATTTTTAAATGAAAATTTTTGTTTATTTATTTTTGTATTTTTATTGATTAATATTGATTTAGTTAATAATCGAACAATTGAATTTAATTGAAAAAGAAAAAATGAATGTAATAAATGATCGTCTGATTGGATTATTTTTGATGATTGAAATGTATCTTTTATTAAATGAAGACGAGTTTCAATATATGATGAACGAACTGTATCAAAACTTAATTGAAGATTTGTTAAATTATTTAATAATTCATAACGAGTTATAGATGATGAATGAGGAATTAAACATGAAATAAATAATGATTGAGATGAACTTAAATTTAATAAACTTGTTTTTAACTGATTAACACAAGCATAATGATACTTATTAAATGAACATTGTTGAACTAATAATTTAAGTGAACATATATTTAGCATTAATGATGTTGTTAAATCTTCTTGTTCTTAAAAAAAAATAAAAACAAACTAATATGTTAAATAAATAAAAATATAAAAATAAATAAACAAAAATTTTCATTTAAAAATTATNTCTTTATTTATTGTAAGGTCAATTGAAGATAAGTGAATCTTGGTTATTTTGTTATATAAAGGAACTATAATAAATAAAAAATATTTTTAAATAGTTACTTTTAATATTTTCTTTGAGTAGATCAATAGCAAAAAGTGGAAAAATAATAATAGCAAGAACAAGAGCAATACTAATTCCGATGACATTTTGTTGAATTCGAAGAAGTACATAATTTCCAGCTGGTAATGTATCTGCAAATGGTAAACGTCCTAAATTAACAATAATTGGTGTTAATGCAGCTATTGTAACAGTATAACCCCATTGAGGATATAATTTCATATAACCACAAAAAAACATCCATGGACAAAGCATTATTATTGTTCTAAATAGATCATTTCCAACTGATAAATATGTAACATATGCCCACATAGCACCTTGGATTTTAAATAGAAAAAAAAACAATGATTTTCTAATATAAAGAATAAAAATTAAAAAACAAATACCAAATAAAGTTCCAATTAATCTCATTTTAATAGTTGTAAAAGCACCTCCAACCGTATCTCCTTGTGTCATACAAAGTGCAATTAAAATCCATTGACCATTTTCAATTTTTTTTGCTAAATTTGGAATCATAACAAATATTGAACCAATTCCAATAATAATAATTGTTTTTAACGCAATTAAAAATCTTGACCAATCAATTTTGAAATAATTTTTACATGAAAATTTTCGTTTATTTATTTTTGTATTTTTATTGATTAATATTGATTTAGTTAATAATCGTACAATAGAACCTAATTGAAAAAGAAAAAATGAATGTAATAAATGATCTTCTGATTGAATTATTTTTGATGATTGAAATGTATCTTTTATTAAATGAAGACGAGTTTCAATATATGATGAACGAACTGTATCAAAACTTAATTGAAGATTTGTCAAATTATTTAATAATTCATAACGAGTTATAGATGAATGAGGAATTAAACATGAAATAAATAATGATTGAGATGAACTTAAATTTACTAAACTTGTTTTTAATTGATTAACACAATCATAATGATATTTATTAAATGAACATTGTTTAACTAATAATTTAAGTGAACATATACTAAGCATTAATGATGTGGTTAAATCTTCTTGTTCTTAGGAAATAAAAATAAAAAATAAACTAATATGTTAAATAAATAAAAATATCAAACCTTGAATAGTTAAATCAATAATAAATCTTCTTTTTCTATTAAATATAATTTGTAATAATCTTGATGGTTCATAATTAGTATCTGAAAATCTTGATTGAGTAGTAATCATTGTTTTACGTATCATTTTTTCAATAATATGTGCACGAGAAAGTAAAACATTAGCTGTTATATGATCTTCAGATATAAAAGCTTGTATAACTAAATGATACATTTGTTGAAGATGATATAAACAATAATTAACACGATTTTCAATATCAAATGTTGCAAATAATGGAAATATAAATAAAGAAACACTTATTGATAAAAATATTCCAATTATAAATTCTTCAAGTAATTCAAATGAAAAAAATTTTGGAATTTGATTTTTATTAACAATAGTTACAAAATAAAGTGTATTAAATAATAAACTTAATTTTCTTGTTGGAATTTTTCTACATTTATATGATATTATTAATGATGATAATAAATAAAAAAATTCATTTAACATATAATGATGATATAGAAGACGATTATTTTGAAGAATAAATAAATATATTGATAATGGTATTATTATTAATATTAATTCAATATTTGTTGATAATGTTAAACCAAATGTTTCATTAATTGTTAATATTGTCATTCCAGGTATCATAAATTTAAATGTTAGATGATCTTTTAATCCTGTACCATAAGCAATAAAAGCAGCAAGAGAAAAGGCAATAACCATACGTAAAGAAAATTGAATATGACGCGTAAATTTTGAATTAACCCATCGAGATGTTGATTCACCAAAATGATAATTAAAATAAATATGACAAATTATTTTACAATATGTAGATAAACACATTCGAAATTTATTCATTTAACAAATATATTTCTAAATTTAACTGAAAATAATTTAATATTTTTCTAAAATAAAATCTATTTCCAAAAACAAAGAAAAAGGAAAAATAAGTTTTGAAACGAATAACAAATATAACGCAAAACACTGACATTTAATTATATTATTCTGTAGGGTTCTTCTATTCGAATTTTACTTTCTTTTTTTATTAAAAGTGTCAATGTAGATCAAAATAGACCTACTTACGTATATGTCCACTAGAATTTTAATTATATTTATAATATTCTATCGAGTATGAAAACGAGCAAATTGATACTTCGAATTCGTCTCTCAAAACAAAACTGAAGTTTATCTCTCGAAGAATAAAATCTATTTAGTAAATAACATATTTTATTTATTATTTTATATAAGATGATTTGGAAATATTTTCATGACTTACTTCAAGTTACTTTAATCGTTCTGTCATAGTCATTCTTTATATGACTAATCTTCGAGAATAAGTCACAAAAGATATTCTTCTTCGGCTATTATTCTAAACAAGGGTCAAGGTTATATAAGTAGAATACATATGAATAGAAGACGATCTCACTAACGAATAGAATAATAAACAAAATCTCCTTTTCTTTTCTTCTTCTTTCTTCTATGATTCGACAAATTAGAATAAATTTTTATTTTAATATGTTACATCCATATGATTTATCTTCTGTAAACGTAAACAATAAGTTAAATTATCTTGATAAGAAACAGAACTTGATAGTAGATATATGCATATCATTTTATATTGTTCTACTATAAATAGATGATTATTATATTGATATTTAATCTTGATTTCAATTATGAAATAGTTGAACAATTGTTTTTCAAGTATTCCTTTGTGTCTGAAGGCGTTATGGAAAGACATACACTGAAAATTTCTTTCATTCAATTGAATAATCGAATATTTGAATAGGTTTATAGTTGAATAATCAAATAGAAGAATAGTTTAATAATTCAAGAGTACTTCAACAAAAGAATTCAACATTTCATCTTGTTTCTTTTATCAATTTTGAATTCCTTAAAATTAATCTATTTTGCTTGGTTTAATCCGATTTTTATAGATTCATTCTAAGAAATAAATTGTTACCTAAATGAAATTTTGAGTTTACTTTTCTGGTCTGATTTTAATTGACTTTGCGTAACTCTCAATCGATTGTTTTATGAAAAGACAAGCCGTTTACTTGTCTTAAACAAAAATTAAGAAAAAGAAAACGTCAAAGGGATTTATCTTTTTAAAGAAATCATTTGTTTGTTGCAGAAATAAAGTCGTCTAGTCTAGTTTCTTTTTCTCAGTTGAATTTCGTAATTAAATTGACCAATTATTTGCCAGCTAAGACGAGAATTTCATTAAAGCTTCTATGATAAAATTAACCAGAGAATTGTTGTAGTGTATGTTTTATACAAAGTTTACTTCACGTTTTCCAAAGGCTGACAGTTTCTCAAACGAAAATACTTGATTAAACACAGTTTTTTTTTGTACGTAGTTCTCGATGAAATAAATGCTGGCGACATATTAACGTGTCAATTTGCACGCTAGTTGAAGAACACAATACTTTGCCTCATAGAATAATATTTAGTCAAGGAGATGATTGCCGGTTGGTCAATCATCGTTCAAAAAGTGTTTGATCTATTCATACTTGAGAAGTTTAGTGATTGTCAAGTTTGAATTCGGCCGAAGACATATCATGATGAAACATAATATTTTTCAAGTGATTTAACAAACTTTGTTCAAGATTTTTGTGTTTCATTCAAACTAATCGATATTCTCCTTGATAAACTAATTTGATAGAAAATTCGTTTTATCTCTCAATTCTTTTCAGAAGTCTTAAATAGATATTTAATAAGAAATTGTTCAAAATAAAAATTACATCAATGTATTTTTAGCATTCAATGAGATATATTAATTGAAATTTAAGAAAATTGATTTTTACTTCCAATAAATTCGTTTTCTTTGAAATGAAACACGAACAACTATGTAAGATAGAACATTTTAAAAATGAACAAGAAGTTGCGATATCTTTTCTGTACATGATGTCGTCTAGAAGACTTGATGATAAAAGGCCGATAGAAATTTATAAAATTTTTAGAGAAAAAAAAATATATTTGAGTTCAAATATTGGCTATTTAGTTACTTATTCTTGGATTCCTTTTTTTTTTGCTTGAAGAAAATAAAGGTAGAGTACAGATAAAGACCGTTTTTATTTTGTGGATCCATTAAAACCTTATTTATTCTTTAGCAACAGCGACAGTATTTTATTTTATTTTCCATAAATATTTAAGAAGATAATTAATATAAGGAAATAATTAAGTAACAAAATCTAGAAATAGTTTCAATTTTGTCAAGGAAAAAGAATATTATTTTATAAATTTATCATAACAAATTTTGTATTATTAGTTCGAATCTTAATTTTAAAAAAGTGAAAAATATTTAGGAAAGTTCAAGAATGAACTTGAAAATAACTTCAAGAATTTACTTTTCAAAATCATTCGCGATACGATTAGATTCAGAGTAGAAGACTAGCTAGGATTCAAAATAAAACGAATAAATATCGATTAGCCTTTTCTCATGATTACGATCTAGTTTTTGGTTGCTACATACATCTTTCTACTATAAATATTTACGATAAGTAAATGTTATTAATTGTAAAATGAAATGCATTTATTGAAAATAATATTGACCTGATAAGAATGAAATTTATTTTAGAAAATATGTAATTAGTTTCATCGTTCTTTTAACCAATGTATTTATTTGAAATGTTTGTGAAAATAATCACTTTCAAATGTAAAAACTCGGTTTAGTTTTCAGACATCTAAATAGATATAATAAACTTATTGAACTTCGTTATTTTATATAACTGAAAGAATCATCAATGTCTGTTTTATCTATTGCGATTCGCAATAGAGGGCGTGGGGTGGTGGATGAGTGTGAGTATGAATATCAAATGAATGATACACCCCACCCACACTCATACCCACATCCACACCCTCGGTTATATTCAACCACCAGACTTATCCTTATTTCGTTCGTGAAAATTTATAAGAAAATTGAACATTACACTCACATCAATCGGACAGAGATCAAAATGAGCGATCGTCAATATTTTATAAATATGCAATCTGTTATTCATAATCAACTATCTGCTCCATCATTCAAAAATCTAATAAAATCAAGATTTATAAATACCGGAATAATTCACGAAACAATTGAAGAAGTCGAAAAACCAAAGTATATTTGTTTTAAATTCTACGATCTCTATTGTTCAATGAATAATTGTGAAAATCGACCACTTCTAATTTGCGCTTGGTACAAGAAACACTTTTGTCATTATTATCTGATTGAAAAAATTCATATTCATTTCTAGTATAGCATAATAAAGATACGTTGAACTTGTTATTTTCGATTTAAATAAGAACAGAAGGATTAAAAACGATTTTCTATTATGTACAGCAGCTTCTTTTTCTCATTCATATATTATTGAACCTTCAGAAAACATCGAAACTTGCGCAACACTACTTTAAAAAATAATTAATAGTGCAAAAAAAACTAAATTCGAAAAATTCTGTTGTTCTTATATATCTAAATTCTCAATACCTTAAAATTTGAATATCTCGATCCGGGCTCGCCATTAGTAGCTCATATTTTTAATTTGGTAGTTTCTCGTTGAGGATGATAATTTGACTCGACTATAGTTAATCAAATCAACTGACATGACAAACAGTTCCATTGTTAGAGATAATTTTTATTGACTACATTGGATAGAGTAAAGTGGGGTAATTGCAAACGAAAAATCGCTCTTTTCACTTCTATCTATCATAACTCAGTCATTTTTTGGAATTTTTTTCTACTTTTTTTTTTAGTTGTATAGAGGAATGTCAGTTCTAGGAATTTATGTAAAAATTATCAAGAATCTATTGCTAGAAGTCGTTCAATCGCTTTTTTTCTAGTAGCACCTACAAGTTGTTTGCAATTACCCCATATGGGGTAATTGCATATAATGGCTGTATAACGTGGGGTAATTGCATATCTCCAGCTATTTTACATGGGACTATTGGAAGTCGGTTTTCTCATTATTTTTANGAGTGTGGGTGTGGGTGGGGGTGTGGGTGTGGGTGTGGGTGTGGGTGTGGGTGTGGGTGTGGGTGTGGGTGTGGGTGTGAGTGTGGGTGTGGGTGTGGGTGTGGGTGTGGGTGTGGGTGTGAGTGTGGGTCTTTTCTTCACCCACACACCCACACCCACACCCTTTTCTTTAATTAAACAAAAAAAAAAAGAAATATCATATATTTATCGGAACAAGTCGCAATGAACTTGAAGTTCGTTCTTATCCTCATGGAGATTCTCTTCCAAGTCTTGCCCATTTTACACAACCAGTATCAGCACTTTGTTTGTCAAGTTCTTTACTTTTTATTGGAACAAAGTAAATATAAAACTTCTTCATTGTATTTTCTAAATTATTTTTCTTTAGAGATTTTAAAGTAGTCATGATGAATTTAAATGATGATTCAAATAAATTAAAATACTTTGATGGACATCAAGTACCAATACTTCCATTAAATGTTTATGAAGAAAAACGATGGATTGTAAGATTAAAAAATTGATCTTTTCTTTCAGTATAAACGAAATTTTATTTTTAAAAGGCAATATCATCTTGTGATGGTTATGTTCGAATATTCAACATTGATAAACAACATTTAACAAAACAAATAAATGTTATTACGAAATCAAATGATATTGAGTAATATCTTATCCGAATAGTTTTGTTTCTGTCTAATTGAATTAATTTAGAACTGCTACATCGTTAGTCAAGCTCGACTGGGATAAAACTGATCAAGTAATTTTTATTTCGATATTTTTTTTCAAGTGATGATTTTACTTGGAATATTTATATAGATATTAGCTATTCCAGTTAAGAATACAATTCAATTTTATGAAACTGATAAATGGACAAGAAAAAAACCTATGAAAATGATCCAATCGACCAAGTTCGTTTCTTTTTTTGTTAATTTAAATTTAAAAAAACAAATATTCGTTTTTTAGGTTATTAATTTAATTAGTTATTCACCATGTCGAACATTATTTATTGTGGCTTATGTTAATGGTCAACTATCAATTGTTAATCGTCTTACATTTGATATTTTTATGAAGTAAGAAAAACCAAACAAAAGAGATATTCATTTTTATTTATTTTATTTAAAGTTATTCATCGAAAGATGTTGTTTGTTCATTAGCTTGGAACCCAACTCAACAAAATCGATTTCTACTTGTTCTACAATGGCTGTAAGTTAAATCTAAAGAGCATATCATAGAAAAATAATAAGATTTATTTGAAATTTCACATCAAACATTATATCTTTGCAACTGACTGTATAAGATTAGGTTATTTTTTTTCGAATCATAAACAATTTATTTTTATCAAATGTTCAGAAACGCAATGACATATTAGGAAAGATAAACACTCTTGTAACGAGTTCAAACTTTTCATTCAAATTCCAAAAAAAGGACAATTATATATCGATGTCTATTTCTTTTTCATAAACTCTAGACTCTTGCTAAACAAACGAGGTTTTTTTGGAATTCGGAGTTGTCTTCAATCTACAATATTGATATATATTTGAATAATAAATTTGTCAAATCAACTGAAATATGATGTTAAACTAAGAGCAGATATAAGTAGGGGCGTAACCAGAAAAAAGCTGTAGAGGGGGCTCAGCCCCCCCCCCTCCCCCCAGTCACATTCCGAGAGATTGACAAAGACCAGCAGATAATCGGACCCTCGAAACTCTGCGAGAATTGCGTGAATATTTTTCGTGAGATAGTATGTGTTTAAAGTAGTAATATATCTCGTTCAGTGTTTCTTATGTGTATCGAATACAGTTCAATGTAGATTATCCTATGAAGAAAGCATTAAAAGCTTGAGAA